CATTCTTGATATATCGAAGTTTTATTGAATATCTCCTATAATGAGATATTCTGTATTCTTAATTCTCTCATGTGTCAAAGTAAATTTACGTATCCAGAAAGGAAATACTAGAAAAGCTAAAACTTGCACAATCAACTAATCTCATTACGAAACCTAAGAAAGATTACAGTGTTTTGTTGAAAAATCCAGTAAAATTTCGATATCTCAAGAGCAAAGGTTCAGAAACCCAAACTATTCTAGACTTTTCTATTAAACTTATCGATTTGTAAAAAAAATTAAATTTGAGCTCACAAATGTTTAAGAAAAAGCAAAAATATTTCTGTAATGATTTTTTGAAAGGCTGAAATTAGTAAAATCAGCACAAGATTCATAACCATGATCCAGATTTGCTCAAATTTTGTCATAGTATTCATCTATCTAAGCTCTATCAACATAGTTTTCCAAGAAATTCCCATATTTTTCTGTTCCAGAAAGATTTTCGGTGCACATCATATTTTCTAACCAAAAAAATTGTTTCGCAAATATGCGATCAAGAGTTCTCTTCAGGTGTTTTTGCTAAAAAATTCTGTTTTGTTTTATTAAAAGTAATTTTTTGAGTAATATGCAATCACTTCTAAGCAAAAGAAAGCACACTCTAGGAGGATGTTCAAATTTTTATCCCTATACTTCAACACTCCTTTTCGATTGTGTGTCACAAAAAAAAAGAGATAATTAATTACATCATTAATTTACAATCATCACCAACTGAACCAAAAAGTGTTTCATGAAATAAATGCCAAGCAACATCTTCAACAACAGCTTGATGTCCAGAAAAAATTGCTAATGGATCAACAAATTTTCCTTCTGTTGGTGTTTTTTCAATATTCCATAAACATATTGTATGATCATCAGATGCTGATAAAATATGTCCACTAGTATTTGGATTCCATGATAGACCATAACCTTCTTTTGTATGTCCACGTAAACGTAATTCTGGACATGAATCAGCACGTAATGCCATTAATTGTTCTTTTGGTAAATTTGATAATTTCGTATAATTAAATATTAATACTTCAGCTGATGGAGACTTTGTTGCAATAAGTGATGGATTTTGTGGCATATAACGAGCACGATTGACTTCACCATCATGATTTATTTTTAATTCAATTTCAATTTTAGCATTAAATAAACCAAAACCACCAAATTCTATTAAGAGAATTTATTTAATATGTTAATTGAAATTAAATAACATCATACCTCCTCGCTCTGATTCATATTGAGTCGTATCATTTATTGTACCATCTTTTGGAATTTGTACACATGCAATTACTAAATGATTTTGTTCATCCGATGTATGTGTACCAAGAATAAGACGATGAACTGTATAATCTTTACTATCATCAGGTCTAAAATAAATAAGTTTCATTATATTATCGTCGACGAAAAATACTGGTTTTAATTCATCCTTTGTGCACCAGCGTACAGAATTCTGTACGCTTTAATAATTTCATACTGTAGATAGAAGAGAGTTAGTGCTACATGTTGGTAAAAAGAAAACATGTTCATATATCTAGGATCGAGAGGTATTAGCAATGTTCTAGTCGTCGGTTTTAATAAATAAAAAGAATGAGTATTGAAGAATTTTTTCTAAATGTGATACAAATAAATTTGGGAAATTTTTTCTAGATCAGGACCAAAAAAAACTTAGTCCCGTACAAAGTTCGAAATATTTAATTACCACAGTCAAAGCATGGTACTCAATGGGTTGAGTATTAAAGTATCCTGATAGGTTCAGATAAGTGTATGTGTATTTAGATATGTATTACAAAAAACATTCATCAATATACAGGTATATACACGTTCCTTTCGGAAGCATTAACATCATTAGGTTTTTTACTTCGCTATCAAGATTCCACAATTTATTCAGAATTGTATATCATCGATCAATATGATTCAAAAAGTTTTATCTTGCATGGTAGGCATCTTTGTTTTCTTTTTTTGATGGAGTATTTTATTATTTCTTACCATCGTCTGATGATGATACGAGGAAAATCACAATATTCAATTTTAATTCTTTGTAAGTTGCAATTGCCTTGCGAGAGAACTCCTTCAATTGATAGATTCTGTCTGAGACGAGACTATGTACATTAATATAGACACAAATGAATTATAAGTATCCTGAACAAAGTTTATGCCTGTAGCTTACAAAATTTACACATTCTGTTCATACCTCATTTGGGTCAATGTAATGCATATAGTCTCCACTCAAACATGATTTGTCAGTTGAGATACTTTCCTTGTTAGCAACATCAAAATATACCTTATCTTTAAAATTTACTTCAAGACATTTCATAAGATAAAACTCACTTTGTTACATGAGGTAACCATTGAACAGTAAGTGAAGGCCATTCGAGAGCATGTGTCATAATTAAATCATAGAGAAAAGCCGAATTTTTTTTCCATATTTTATAATCATCATTTATTTGACGTTCTTCATTTAAAACATCATCAGCTAAAAAAAAATCATAAATCATTTTTATCATAAACAAAAAGTTTTATTTTCGTTTTTTTTTTTTTTTGGTTTTACTTACTATCAGTCATAGTAAATATATGATAAATTTAAAAGAGAATTGATTTTATCTAGAACAAAATGAAAATAAACGCATTTATGATTTTATTCATTCTCTATGTGTTAATCTTGTTTTATATGTAATTAATGGTCTCATTTTTGCTATAACTCTTATTAGTTTTGCTTCAACAAGATCTTCAATAATAGCATCTATTGTTTTATATGCTTGTGGATGTTCTTCATAAAGTAATTGTTTATCATCACATACAACATGTGACTCTAAACTTTCTGTTATTTTTAATCTATCCGTATTTGGATATTTTTCACTAAAATATTGTCGAGCTTTGGAACGTGACATAGCACGACCAGCACCATGTGCTAATGAATATCCAGATAATTCTTGATTTTCATCAATTGATTCAACAAGATAGGAATGTGTACCACGACTACCAGGAATAATAATACGACCTTTATCGGATGGTGCTGCACCCTTACGATGAAGATGTACTTGACATTGTTCGGATGATAATTCTTTTAAGACAACATTATTATGCCAAATATCAACAAGACATTGTAGTGGACTTGTATCACCAAGACAATTAAGAAAACGCTGAGCTATTAAAGCTCGATTACGTTTAGCCCATGCACATGCTTCATCATGATTACGCATATAAATTTCATAAGCATCACTACCTTTAATAAGTCCACGTGTTTCATCGTTTCCTTTTCCGAATTCACGTAAAATTCTTTCGCCCAAACTACGACTACCTGAATGAACAAGTAAATAAAGATATTCTGTTGATAGATCATCATATTTATTATCATAGAGTTCTTCAATACGTTGTAATTCAACAAAATGATTACCAGCACCAATTGTACCTAATTGTTCATTTTCAATATGATTATTTGTAATTTTATCAACTGTTGTTGGCCATTTGAGATTTGATTGAAGAAATTCTTGGATTGTTTCATTTGATAAATAATCATCTAAACCTTGTAATTGTTTTGCCCATTTAGCTAATTTTCTTTCATCATTTTCAGATATAAGATTTAATGATGTTCGAACAAAACTCATACCACAACCAATATCAGAACCAATTAATTCAGGATAAACAACAGTTGGTTCAGTAGCAACAACACAGCCAATAGGTGTAGCTTGACCAACATGTAAATCAGGCATACCTTCATAATTTTAAAATAAATTACTATACTAATGAAATTAGTTCTATAGGAAAGATTTCAATCTTCAATGCCTAACATAAAGTACTATGAAGCATCATTCATAGCCGGCAATTAATCGACATTGAGTGTTCGAACACAAATTTTAATCCTACGGAACACTTTTTATTCTTTAGCAATATTCTAAGCAGAATAATTTGGTTGAAAAAAATGCGGACTTGGAAAAAAGTTTTCAAATTTAAATTCTATTTCGGAGTGCGCAAAAATTTTCGATTATCGAATCTGAAAGACAGAGGAATTTTTTTTTGCTAAAACAACAGTGTCGTATATTTAATAGGTGGTACAGAGAAGTTCTAGCTCGTTTTGTATATCCTTCTACAGAAAAAGTATAGTAAAACAATATCCGCGAAAAGACTACATATTGACCTGTCTGGTTCATTTAGTAAGAAACCTAATAGTAGAGATGTAGAATCTGTCTGTGTGCGCAAACGCACGTTCGAGAAGATTTTCGAAAAAATATTGTGTTTAGAGAAGCTTTTATGAGCATCTAGTTACATATAAGTCTAGAAATTTCGATTATATTTAAAACCAATTTAAGCGAGATTGAACTCATAGATTCGCAAAGATGGCATCAATAAAGGACACCCGTTTAAAAAAACTGTATTTTTAGAACCTTTGCCTCTTCTGGACGTTCGGAATTAAAATTTGTTTTAGAAAACAACTTAGTTGTTCGATTATACTGTAACTTTCTCTAATGAATCACAAATCATTAACTAATCCTATGAGAAGAAGACAGAAAATACGTACTCAATGTAAATTTATCCTGTTGGATTCTATCAAATCCTAATAGTTCAAAAATCAAGTCGTCGAATGATCTTGATCTTCACTGACTCAACAGCAAGTTTGAAAGTGTCTGACATGATCCGAATATCAGATCCTGCTTGACAAGTACATATCAGACAAACAAAGTAAGACATTCATTTTGAAATCAAACACTATAGAATTACTGTATGAACGGTGTTGAAACTCACATAACATCGAAATTTCGAAAAGAAATTCGTTATAAACGTGAAGACTTTCTTTATTGATAGTTCCTGTTGCAAAACAATTTTAACACTATTTTATGATTAATTTGATATAACCCGTGAGATGCATAAATTCTGTCTTTAAGATTAGTTTGATTTTAAGTATAATTGATATTTCTAGAATCAGTAACTTTTTAATTACGAGAATATTTATGATGCAAGACGAGTCAGAACTTCTGAACCATTCATTATGTTCTCATTCTATATAAAGCAAGCTTTGAGAAACTGTTATTCTTATATATACCCCAAATATGTTTCACTTTTGCATATAATCGAGCCACATTTTTCAATTGATCAACAGCTGCTTGTTCAATTAACGTTCTGTTTGCAATAATTTGAATAGAAACTGATGATGAATCAATCGTTGAATCATTTGTTGTTGTTGTCGGCGATCTATTAGCCATTGTATATGTATCACCACACGTTACAATTATTTTAGTATCATTCGAAATTCGTGATAAATCTGTTAATAATTCTTCGCCTGTTGTTGCTAAAAAAGCACGACGAGCTTTAACACGAAATTTCGATGAACATTGACGAAGAAGATCGTCGAGTGTTTGAACAATTATTACACTTGACTTGCCTGATGGCTGAAGAGTAACTGTTACTCGAAGTTTATTATTCGACGCCATTGAATATTTATCTGAAAAAAAACCAATTAGAGAAATTCATACGAGATTAAAATATAAAACACAATGTAGTTACTGTCGTTAATCACAAGAATATTATGTTTGATTTCGGGACACATTTCTTCATCATCCTTTTACTTACTCTTCCACATATGCAATAAGGAAGTTATTTACATATCAAAACGAAACTTTATTGATATACGGTCTATGATCGTATGTCAACGTGTGTGGGCGGAATTTTTATCCCTATACTTCAACATACCTTGTCGATCATGTTTCACAAAATAAGAGATTACAAGCTTCATTATTAAATAGAAAGATCCAAACAAACGGTTCTTATTAATTAAACTATCAGTTTAAATTTCTTAATCTCTGGTGCTGACTTTTTTTTTTGTAGAAAATCAATCTTTGAAATGAGAACTAAACATGTCATACAGTCGAAATAATAAAGTCTTTGAAAATAACTTACTCAATCGATTGATTCAATTTAATATCTGTTGTAGAATATGATGAAATTTATGTTTAAAATTCTAATTTATTTGATTTGTTAAACTTTGTCCATCTTTTCATGTCCTTTTGTCTGTATAGAAAACGCAGAAACTCACAACCAAACATTCTACTAGTTATATCTAAAATCTTTCGATATTTTATTTATAATGTAAAATCACTTTTAAATAACTATGTACTCTTCTGTGTTCTAGGCTTTTTTATAATGAAAACAAAAGAAAAAATAAACATATGCTTCAAAACAAACGAATATAAATTTAATTGTACATGTCATCTAAATGAGGACCAGGCATTGGTAAATGATCAGGATTTGGTTCTTGGAATGGACTAAATCAAAATTAACGCATACAAAAACATAATAATATTGACAAAAAAAAACTTACTCAAGACCATACGGACCACGCTGAGGACCGGGAGGTTGAAATCGAGCCATTGGTGGTCTAAAAACCAAAGATTGATTATTGAAAAATCTACAATTTAAACATTCTTACCGCATTGCTGGTTGAAACATAGATGGATCCATATTCAAACCTAAAATACATTTTATTATTTCGAAATAACAATGAATCATAGAAACAAACCTCCACCACGTGTATTTCGTCCGAATGGATCAAGATCTGACGTACCATATCCACCAGGACCTGGACCATAACCACCAGGAATTTGTCCCCTATAATTAACAAGTATGCAATGTTGCATCATTTTTTTTTATTTGTAATACTTACCAACCACCTGCATATGGGTGTGGTCTTCGTCCAGCTGCTAATGGATCAATTAGAGGATCATCAGGTATTGGACGACGAACACCAGTTTGTTGTTGATTAGTTGAAGTACCTGTTCGAGTATTATTAGATGATGTATTGTCATTGTTAGCATTTGAATCGGAACCTCCATTAGTTAATGATTCAATTTTTTCATGAAATTCTTTTTTTAAATCATTTAAATTCTTATAAGCACTAATAATCAAGCGAGAGAAAGAAACAACGAATATTAAAACAAAAACAAAAAAAAAAGAATATGTTAATTTATATCATACGATTGAAATTCTTTGTAATTTTCATGCACATGATCATTAACACTAAAATTAATTTCAACATGACGACCTTGTTTATTACGCTAGAAAAAAAATCAAATCGAAATTTTCATTTTTTTTTTTTTCTTTGTTATATTTTACTTACAAATAAATGAGCAAAGAAAACACCTTCAACATCGAATAATTTTAAATTATAACCAATATCATTTTTTGTATATTCCATTGTAATGGAATTATCAGGTCGTTGTTTCCAATCATTTGGTAATAATTCAGTTTTCTTTAAAGAAAAATCAATATATATATATATATATATTTTTTTTTTATGATAAAAAAAACCTGATTGCCATTTAATCGTTGAAAACCATGTGAAATTAAACACCAATGAGTAAAGATAATAAGTGCATCATCTTTATTTTCAATTTGTGATTCATACGTATGAAAAAGTATTTCAAGAAATGGATAAGACATTGTTTCTTTTTCTAAAAAAAAAAGAAAGAAAATGCGTCAATGAATAGACACGATTTCAGAATCAAACAAAGAAATATGAAAGAATAATTACGATTTTCTATTGGACTATTATCAACTATCCAATCCGTATTTGAAAGAAAGATGACGTTCAAATACAATTTATTCTTCAAATGAAAGTTCAAACTTGGATGAAATTTTTGCAAAATATTCCTCGACTCATAGCACTTATATAGCATTCACATGAATCAGCTCAAGCGTCTGTCTCAGGATCAAGCTATAGCTTCTTTACAAAGTTCATATTTGGAATCAGCATCAAAAACTAAAGTGAATAATGTATTATTTATTGGACTTTTTATAAAACAAAATTTTGCAAGTATATTTCTATAGAGTAAAGATTTCTCAAAGTTTTTTTTTTTTTAAGATTATGTCGACATTTGAGAGATGATGAAATGAAAAAATGTCCACTATGCTCTGTACGTCTTTTTGAATGACGGAATCTGATCAGGTGATAAAAAGCATTTGAATTCAAGTTTTTTTCACAAGTATGGAATGTAGAGACTAGAAAAAAAACTCAAAGAAGGGCATAGGTGTAAATGTCGATTAGGCTGGGACATCGATTATTTACAATAATTTTCCTGCAATAATCCATTTTTCTGGTAAGATCAACGTTTTGAATTTTAATCTGAAACTTTGTTCATATCAACATCTCAATAGAGCTAGCTTACTGATTAAGTTTCAGAATTGTTGGAGAGATTATCTCTATACAATATCCATAAACAATGCTGATACTTTATAAACAAGCTACTCTTATTGATACGTTGACATGAATAATTTTAGATAAAAATTTGAAGTTTTGACTTTACAAGAAAAATAAAGCGTTTCTGGAAAATTTGATATTTGGTGCCCATATTCCTCTTACGGTTTTTTTTCTAGTATACACATTTGTTAGGTGTGAAAAAGGTTCTCTCGTATGACAAATACACAAAATTTCAAGAGGAATACTTATTTAATTTGAGAATTATCACTGATGATTCTCAGAATTTCAGATTCAGTTTCTAGACTAGAGAAAAATTGTTCTCTGATTTATGAAGAAATGCAATCAACGGAGAATATGCAAACATTTGCAAGCTTTTCTCGATAATTTACAATGATGATAAATCGGTTATTTTAATAATTATACAAAACTTAATTATTGATTTGATTATTTTTGATTCGTATTAAAAGGAATATGAACGTATTTGTACTTTTTTCCAGCAGAATTATGAAATGAAAACTGTTGGTAAATATGAAACTATTTGTGTGAAAGCATATATTTTTACTATTTTACATAGCATAATAAATAATTAAGAGATATAATATATACAATTATCAGCAAAAGAAAAAACGATTAATTATCATTATTTGTATGAATTGATATTAAAGTTGTTGTATGTCAACATTACGTCTTTTGCTATCATAATAAGAAGAACAAATGTCTGAAATTATAAAACATATTTATTTCACTTCATCAAACTGGTTTCTTTTTGTTTTTTTCAAAAGAAAAAATACTGATGTTATATATAAACGCTTAAAAAAAAACTATGGTGCAAAATAAAATTTCTAGTATATAAAGTCAATTCACTACTTCGATCAATGTTTCTTTAGAAGTCTTCTTATTAAAAAAAAAATAAATAAAACAGTCTTGAGATTATCATTTGTGCAAAAAAATGAAGAAGGTACAAAGTGTTTCTTTTTCTTAAATCATTTGATTTTTAATTCTTTGGAAAAAATTCTTTAGTACTTCAAAAATCAAAAAACATAATCATATGAAATAATTTTTTTTTCACGATATTCGATGATATTTTTTTCTTATTAATGTGATAGAAGTCACACATTTGTATTGATTTTTAATCGATTCTACTGAATTTATATGAAATATTGTCTCAGAAAATTGTATGAGTACTGTTGACAATAACATATTTCATAGTTTGACTAAATTGTACAAGTGTAAAATAGCAATCCTATATATCATGAGTAATGGCACATATTATATTTGTGTAGCATTGATGAGCAGCAGCAACTAGTATTTTCAGTAACTATTTTCGACAACGATAGAGGCACAACTCTATCGTTAAACCATCTGTTTTGGTGACTCAATCGATTGGTTTACACCTCTAATTATGGATAAAAGTATAGTCGATAGAAAGGTGTTGATCATAGCGCTTTTTATACGTGAATTTATAAAACAAAGAATGTAGTTTTGATTTCTATTCGTCTTCGAGTGTTGCTCAGACAAACTAAATACTTCTTCACTAGTCGCTCTAATTTCTCTGTGCAACATTTTGATCAGCATTCTTCAATTATCTATTGAAGTAAAATTGAATAAGCGATTTGTTTTCAACGCTAACGCAATTCTAGACATTCTTGGTGTTTATTCATTTTTCAACAAGTATAAGATAAGAAGACGATATGCATGTTGACAATGCTTTATCTACTAAATAAAACATATAAGTTCTATAAAATGTCCATAAGAATTCCTCGAGGATAAATATTCTTATCTTCTTGTCGTCATGCTTGCTGAATATAAGATTGTCATTTATGCAATACATTTAAGGGAGGACCCTCCCTCAGAAAATCGATTTTTAGATAAGTACATATACTGAAAGCCCAAAATGTCCCCTTTCAGATTATGTATGATTTGTTGCATTTTGAAAGGTTTTGAGTGGTGAAAATAGCGGTTTTCTGGGAGCACTGGTAGAAATATAAGGTTTTATCAGAATTTTTTTTAGTTAGGGAGATGTAACAGTGGTCAACAAACTTGTAGATTTTGGTTAAAGAAAAACACATATACGTTCTGTTACATTAATTAATTAGAGGAACGTAGTCATTTCTGCTTAAAATCCTGTATACATGATGAAATTGCCGTATAGAGGTCGTGACAGTCATAGTGAAATTAATAATTGTTTCATACAA